TGGTCTCCATCCTCCCCTGACCTCAATCCTATTGAGAACCTTTGGAGCATCCTCAAGCAAAAGATCTATGAGGGTGGGAGGCAGTTTACATCCAAACAGCAGCTCTGGGAGGCTATTCTGACATCTTACAAACAAATTCAAGCAGAAACTGTCCAAAAACTCACAAGTTCAATGGATGCAAGACTTGTGAAGCTGCTATCAAATAAGGGGTTCTATGTTAAAATGTAATGTGACCTGTTAAAATGTTTAAAAAGTTAAAATGTTGTTATAAGTTTGATTGAAATAGCTTTCGATTTCAGTAAATATGCTGCAAACACAACAAATAACAATTTTCAGTTCTTTACAACCTATAAAGTGTTTTGAAACTTACTGTGCGTAATAATTTGGAACAGTGCATTGTAAGTTTTTGTTTTTTTGTTTGTTTTTTGTTTTTTTAATGTTTACAAAGAATTACTGTTATTAGGAGGTTTGTTCAATAAAATTTGAATTGTACTCTTAATAGTTGATAACATGAGAATTATGCTGACTGTTATTTACATCAATTATTTAGGTAAATGCGAAAAATATCATTTGCATAATTTAGAACAGGGTGTAATGCTTTTGAAGGATTAATATATAGTTAAATTGTCTAGGGGTGTATACATCAACAGCGAAAGCATAGCCTTTATATAGGGTTTCCAATACTGACAATCTGGGTCATGGGTGTAGTGCAGACATGCGGTTAGGTACTTTTCCATTGTCCTAATATATTGAAAACACTAAGACTTTGCCAATGTTAAAAAGCATATTGCTTCCTGTACCTGCAAGTATGTAGTTGGGACATAGTTCAAATTGAGTATCAAAAGTCTCTAACCACAAAAACAAAATTTTATATACTTAGCAAAAAATGTGTTTAACCCGTTAGCAAGTTAATTGGGTGACCTCTTCCCATAATTTGGCTCCTTTTGTAATTGTTATAATATTTATTTATCCTCTTCTGTTTATGCAAAATGCTTTCAATACTAATACAAATATAATACAGAAGTTTAGTAGATTAGAATTGCCTCACTAATAAATGTTAGAAATTGACTGATCTCTATTAAAAAATACCATTTCATCATTACCCTATGATCAATGAGGCATACTAGATGAATCTTACTTTGGACAAAACCTATCCTATACATCCATAATTTTTTTTTAAATTTATTATTTTTTTTGATTTCAAGTTTCTAGGGATTAGAGATGACACTGCAACCAGGATTCAGCTGTGTCAGGATACCTTGTGTATCAGTCAGGGGCATTGTTACGGCACCGCCAGGCATAAAAGGGTTAAACCGCCGTTTAGAAGATCTTCCCCTTCCAGAGACATAGGCACAGCTACTATAGACACCAATCCACCGAACCGGAGAAGCATATGAATGCTGTAAACAGCCGAATAGGAAAAACCATACGAATAGGTTTACACTCCTAGCAGTCGAACTGGAACAACATACAATAAATCCCCCCAAGAACGAGACAAAGCTCTGTGTTGAGGGTCAAGCAGTGAACAGTCAGAGCTGTGGGTTTATTGTGCTTATGTACACATTCTTACACATTAGTACCACCCACAGGGTTTTGGAACACAACCAATAAACACATACAATACACTCAGACACTCCCACACAAAATCCTCCCCTCTGCCTGTGATACAATTATCTTACACAATGGGTAATGTAATTATAACAAGCAGAGAAATACAATTTTTCCACATTATTCATAACTTGAAAAGTATGCATCACATTCACATATGTCAAAATCATACAAATTGGTCCAGTGGTTCAAAAGATAGATCGTAGTCCTTTGTGACCAAAGGAAGCATGGCTTTTCTGCCCAAAACCAGTTCCACAGAGTCTTCTATCCTGGAGATAATTGGGAAGTAATCCAATTATCTCCAAATACAGAGGCAAAACTCCATTGAACACATGGCAGCAAAAGACAATAAAACACATAAAAATATATAACTGTGCAGCCATTGCACAAAACAGGTGCATTCAACATATCCCCAGATAGCTCAGATCTGAGCGCACATTATTACTGAATGGCGCTCAGAGCACACACATACAGTTCAATTGCCATGGAGCCAAAGTCTTTCCCATAGTCTTTCATTATACGAATGGGCTCCATGGCATAGCTATCTGGGGTATCACCGCTCAAACAGGGCAAGCACCAAATGACCTGGCTTTCATGTCTTTGCAGGGGAAAATCAAGCCTTTTAACATGGGGCCATAATCCAAATGCAACAGGCGAGCAACCAGGCTTCTCCAATGCAATGTGGCGAGATTGGTCTCGTCACAGGCATGTCACCAACTGGCGTCACATTGCAGGGTATTGAGGACACTCCTTCCAACTCTCAGCTTGTCCCCAGCGATTCTCACCCCAGTTGCGATAACCCTGCCTCCTTTTATGACACCGCTAATGAGCACCGACGTCATGACCCTAAGAACGCCACGGTCTGCCAAGGTGTTCGAACAAGAACATTTTGCAGGGCATGGTTACCTACCTAATTGAACACCGTATTTAAAGAGAAACCATGGAGAGACTCATTGCCCTGTTGTGGTTCTTGATAGACCCAAGAGCGCGTATCTCGTATTGGTATTCTTGTATTCTGACTTTGGCTACGTTTGACTGTTCCTTTGACCTCTGCTATTGCATTATCGTTGATCCTGATTTCTGGTACCCCTGACCTCTGCTCACTATTGACTATTCTTTGCATGTGTAGTGTTAGTCCGGCCATCCTAAGGTCCGGTATATATTACTAGTATTTGCATTCTGCGTATAGGATCCCCGAACGTCCCTGACAAGCTGGTGCTAGAAGCGATTTTAGATATGGCTACTTCACATATTAATGTCATGTCTGAGCCACTAACCCCATGGATAAATTATTTCCTCTTATTCACATTGCTCGAATGACTGTACATAGCCACCAGACATTGGTCGTAATGCCGATCATATCACAACATAGGGATGGACTGTTTATATGAGACAATCTTGCAGGTACCATTTACCACCAGAATAAAATATTTGAATATTCCTTTAGATGATTAGTACCCCGAGTGATCACTTTCAATGCAGACCCCACTCTGCAACACTCTTCTAGGGATATATAGATGATGCGTTTTTTTTTCCACAGGACCATATGTAGGAACCTATCACTAGATGACTTATTCAAGACTTGTATAACTCAGTTCCAAATATTTTAGCCCAGCGGCATTTACTCAACATTTAGATTCTTTTTGAGGGCGTGGATAACCATATTCCCAGACGTCCATATTTCCTTAAACAACCTGCCTACAGCTAAAATGGAGAGTTGGAGGTAATGCGTGAGTATCCTGTTAAACAAGTTGAAGAATCTCATCATCCATTAGACGGAGTGGGTCATATTATTGATGCTTTTGTGTTACTTTGGTGATTACTATTTGTTTCTTCTAATGTGGCAATTCAAATTTATTAATGTGTATCATGGGTACACGTAATAGGGCGGGCTTGAAATAGTGTGTAGTTATTGTACAGGTGTGGGGTGGAGCCTGAACTGCTTTCCTCAACCAAGCTTGTGTTGCCGTTACCAGGTCTGGTTACCGGGACAAGGCCCCAACAACCTTCACCATCACACTGTCTCTTTTTTCGTGACCCTCTTTGTCCTGTCTGGGGTGCCCCTCTCTGGCATCTCCTTTTACTTTCTTCTGGAACTTTTACTTTTCTCTCATTATTTCTTCTTCCTTCTGGAGCTTTTTCAGCCTCCCTGGTTGCCTTCGATTTCCCCACCTATGGGTTGGGCGTGATCAGGGGACCCCTTCTTCTTTCTTTACCTTTCACCTCCTTCTCCTGGTTCCCTTTCAGGGAGTTGGGCATTTCTGTGGGTCCCGAGACTGAGTTAGTGTGGGAGAGTGATTTTGCGTGGTGTTCTGTGTGCTTACCGCCCTGCTCCCCTGTCTATTCTTACCCTAAACTGTAGGGGTATGAACATTCTGGAATGCAGGACACACATGCTGAGGGAACTGAAGAAAACCTGCGTGTCAGTGGGGCTATTACAAGAAACACCCTTTATGGAGGGTGTTGCCCCCTAGACTTCACAACCAATTCTATCTGGCTAATTACTTTTGTAATCATCCCTCGGCCCGTAAGGCTGGTGTAGCTATTTTACTTGCTGCAGACCTACAATTTTGTGGGGGAGACTTTAATGCCCCTCTTGATCCACTACTTGACTCTTCCTCTGGACATGGCTGCATTTCTCAAATGCATATTTGCTCTATTCGCAAAACTTTGGGAGATATGAGACTGGCAGATTACTGGAGATCTCTCCACCCAGACTTTAAGGCTCCCAGGAGATGGGACAAGCCCTCCTGCCGAATGAACACATAGTTGATATGGGAGTATATGTCGTGTAGCGCTGAATAATGTAATAATGTATTCAGCGCTACACGACACATACTCCCATATCAACTATGTGTTCATTCGGCAGGAGGGCTTGTCCCATCTCCTGGGAGCAACCATTGGACAGTCAACATGGTCAGATCATGGCCCAGTCCAAATAACACTCAAATCTCCGTTATTCCGGCCCTTGACCTGGACCTGGCAGGTCAATGAGGCACTTCTTATGGATCCTGAAGTCAGGGAGCAACTCACACAGGCCTTGGAACTTTACTTTCGGAACAATGAGATAGCCGACATATCTCCCATCTCGATATGGGAAGCCCACAAGGGCGTAATCCATGGCACACTCATTTACATAGCCTCTATTAAAGATGACTGAATTCTGCAATACCATTTCTCGCTTGGAGTCTCCACACAAAAGGATGCAAATGGTGGAAGTTTACAGGGAACTATTGCAAGCCAGACGCCACCTGACAGAATGTCTTGCACATCGACATCTTAGAACGCTTCA